ACACACACAGAGAGAGAGACACACACAGAGAGAGAGACACACACACAGAGAGAGAGACACACACACAGAGAGAGAGACACACACAGAGAGAGAGACACACATACAGAGAGAACCAGCCGGGAGGCCACACACTCGAAATCAGCGTGCACGGGGCTGGGAGATCGAGCCAAGCATGGCCCAATAGTGGGTGGGCGAGGGGGGCGCGGGCACCCCAAGGTCGCGCAGACAAAGTGGGGTGGCGGCCAAGGGGCAAAAAGGCCGCGATCCGCCTTAGATCCACCCCCTGCCTCCTCCCCAGCCCTCGGCCCCTGGATCACCGCGGAGCAACGGCAAGGGGCCGACTCATAACCAAGATGAGGGACGAAACACCATATCAGCCCTCGGAAGGAGGGATCGCCGTCGGTCGGCACCCAACTGGGCAGATCTCGTACCTGGCACTTGGGATCCCCGGCCCCCGGCCGGAGCCGGTGTACTGGCCGCCGGCCGGGCCGCGAAGCGTCGACCGCGCAGCCAGGGATCGCCCTTCGGCCTTGCAGATTTGCTCGTCACATGGCGAACCGAGGGGCCCGCGGTTCGCCCGCTCGGGGACACAACTGCCGCCCCGGCATTACGAGACAACAAGGAGAGTGCCAACTGTCCGGCGCACGGCGCTCGCGGCTTCTCCGCGCCGCCCCTCCGCCAGGGCTTCCCCTGGCGGCGACAGTGGCGACGGCGGCGACACCGGCCCAGGGAGCAACGGGCGTGAGTGCGCGCGCATCGACCGCCGCCCGCTGCGCACCAAACGGCGCCCCCCCCTCGGCCCCGCGGACGCTGAGACTAAATGAACGCCGGAAATGAAGGCGGGAGCGGATGGGCGCGCGCATTCGCGGGGGCCCAGCCGGTTTCGAGACTGGAGCCAACCCCGCCGGCCCGGCCGGAGGGCCTGCCCTCGGCGTCGATCACGCCAAACGCCGCACCATCGCTTCGTATAAAATGCCCCCTTCACTGCCACCCCCGGCCGCGCGTCCGAGGGACGGCCGCGGCTCCGCGGCCACCCCTCGCTCCAGGCTCAGGGGCACGAGCGACGCGGAGGCGGGGGAGCCGCCTCGGGGAGCCCCAGGCGCCCTGCGGGGGACACAGGCCTCCTGCGCTAAAATAGGCCTGGGGCCCCGGCCTGCAAAAAGTGGACTTGAGGGGAAAGCTCCCGGGGCTCTCTCATCTGTCCCTGACACACATGAGTGCGCGGGCCGGGACTCGGAGCCTGCACACTAATGAGCCTGCGGTCTGGCACAGACCGCAAGGCGAGGGGCCCCCCCAGGGGGGCCACATACCTCGGCGGCATCCACCCCGCTATGCCTGCTCCCGGACCTGGGGGGGGGGGGGGGCCCACGGCTCTCACGCGCGGTCCTCCTTGCCCCGTCTACTCCTGCAAGAGCGCCGTGATTGTGGCTGCTCAAACGTTGATGCCCCCCCCCCCCTCCTTTCACACCCGCCGGGGCTACTTGTGGCAGAGCTCGCCCCCGGGTCGATGCAGACCGGGGGTCGCATTCCGTTGGGCATCCTCCCATCCGTCGACCGAAGCACGGCTACCCCTCATTCCTCCCGATCCATCTGGGGAGAATGCCCCGACTGGCTCGCCACACGCGCCTGCGGGGGGGGGCCCCGCATCGCCCATGAACAGCGGCGCCTGTGCGCCCGATCACCCGAAACTTGAACTCACGCCACTCCCTCGCCGCGGAGGAAGACCAGGCACCCACTGGTCCCGACGCGGCCAGGCCGTTCGGCGGGCGGCCATTCTCCCCGGCGGCCCGGCACACCCCGCGCGGGACTAGGCCCCTTCTCCCGGCTTGCCCCCGGGCCCCGAAGCGCCCGGGGCACGGAAGCGGCGCGGGCCGCCCGGATTCGCGGTGGAATATCATCGGCCGCCCGCGCCTGGGCGTGGGGGCAAAAGAAAAAAAGGGGCGAAATGCAACCCTCAGCCGGGGCGGGTTCTGATGCTCCTCTGCCCACGCATGGTAAGTGAATTTCTATTTCCGGAGGCCGCGCGTGGGGCTAATCACGTTCGACGTCCGATGACTCGGGGGAGATCATGAGACTAAACGCCGGGTCTCGGGCCGCCTCCGGACAGGGGCGATCGGCGGCCTCCGCCCTCGACCCGGAGTACGCGCGAGGCGGGGCCACTTCGGCGGCCTCGGACACAGGCCCACCCGTGGTCGATACCCCCCCGGTGCCGACATCAAGCCCATGGGCAATGTGCGCGGCTGCGTGGTTGGCTGGCGCGGCCGCGGGTTCTTCGCGGATCGACAACTGGATCACCGTTCCGTCGGGCAACACAAGCGCCAGGCGCAGGGAGGCCTCCCGCCGCCGGGTGTCCCTGGTGGTCTGGAGACAGACACTCTCGCCGGCGGCCAGCATGACGCCCTTTCGGCCCCCGACCGAGGTGGTGCGATCGGCCGGGGCAGTGAGCCCGCTGCCAGGCGAGACAAAGGTCCAGTTTGAGCCAGCCTGCATGTTGGACGGAGTGACGGTCAGCCCGGGAGCTGTGAGTGCCGCGGGGAGGGGAGAGAGAGGGCGTGGGGGCCATAGACGAATGCATGTATGCCGGCACCTGCTTCAGAGTAACGGTCTGGACCAGGGGATTGAGGCCGATAGTGCCTGAACGGTGGCCAGGCCCCGGGGGGATTGGCCACACAGGGAGAAGCAATGTCAAAGTCAGACCCTTGAACGTTCCTGCTGAGGGGCAAGAAAGGCGGGCACGTGTAATCTTACAGTGGTTTCGACTGACGCCACCGGCTCGAGGAGACACAGCCAGGTCGCATGCCGGGTCCCGGCCGACCATGAGCTGGGCGGGTCCAGCCAACGTGGGCAGGCGGGTCCAGCGGGGCTCGCACCCGGCCGGCGTTCCGGCGGGCTGAAGAACGAACGAAATGTACCACATCGTGGCGGGCGAGGGGTTCAGAGGGAGGGCAAACCCACAGCCCGAGCGATCAGAGGCGCGAAAAAAAAAAAAAAAAAAAACAACGAAAAAAAGCCCGCCGCAGGGGGCCGACTGATGTGGGTGGAGGCGAGATCGCGGGAATGGAGCAGAGACTGGCACAGGAGGGTCCCCCCACTTTTGACCCCATGGGCCTCCAAACACGCAGAGGTGCCCCCGCACACGCGTCCGGCAGAGCGAAAGGGCAAGTTGATGGTTTTGTGTATTTGGAGAGGCTGAGAAGGGGGAGGGGAATGGCACCGTCCCTCGCTCCCGCCCCGCCCCTCGGCTGGCCAGACACACGGTGCCGATATGAACGGCAAATGCGCGCCCATCCTCCCTTTGCGCGAAGATGCGCGCATAGTATACAGGCGGGAGAAAGAGAGGCGATGGAGCAGGCAAAGGGGAGCAAGGGTCCGTCCCCGGCAATGCATCTTTCGCGCGCCGCTGGGCGGGCATATCGAGGGTGTGCTTTGACCGGAAGGGGAGACACAGAGCAACGGGAATGGGGCAAGGGGTGGGGGGGGGGGGGTGGGGGGGGGGGTGCGCGGCGGCAGCACGGCTGCCTGGTTGGGAGGTGTGGAGGCAGGGCGGTCTAGCAAAGAGAGGAGGCAAAGGCAGGGCCAAACCTGGAGACAGGCAGGGGAGAAGGCACGGAGAAAGGACGAGAGGGGGCGCGAGAGGGAGAGGAAGAGATCGGCGCGAGAGCACGCGAAAGGGGGCACGCTCTTTCCTCGCCCCCTCATGCCCCTTGCCGCCGTTCTCGGGGCCCGGCGCCGCTTACTTGGTGCGGATGAAGCGGAGCTTCTGAGCGGAGTGCCGGAAGTTCTCGGCATAGTTGCGGTTGATGGTGGGCTTGTGGCGAGCCTTGAACTCGGCCGGAGGAGTGGCAGTGTCGGCGACACAGGTGTACGCCCACCCCTGGCGCTCGGCAAAGCGCTGGGCCTGCTCAAGGGTGTTGAAGCGCAGGGCCATGTCGATAGCCTGCAGGGGGTCGTTGCTATGTGCGTGTGTGTATGGGGGGGGGGGGGCGGAGGTGAGAGGGGAGTGTTGCGAGTGTGAATGACCAGGAGGGGGGAGGGGGGGAAGGGTCTCGAGCGAGGATACCAGTCCCAAGGCGGAGTGGGTGGGTGGGGAAGAGCCGGGCTGCGTGCGTCTGGCATATATGCACACGCATGTACAAGCATGCACACAGACGTTCGCGTGGCACAGGGCAGAGCACAGATGCATACGTACCTGGAGGTCCAGCCCATCAGAGGGTTCTCCCAACGCTGGTTGACGTCGAATTCGATCTTGTAGTAGCGGGTCTGGAAGGTGCCGGACTGCATGGCGTTCATCGGCGGGCGGATGATGCGCACAGTGCGGGCGGCATGCTGGACCGGCTGGCCGGAGGTGGCGCCGATGTCGCTGCGGAACTTGGCCAGGGGGAGGTGGTTGACGGCCACGTTGGCGAGGGAGCCCTGAGGACAGGAGAGGGAGAGGCGCGGGGGGGGGGGGGGGGGGGGGGGGGGGGGGGGGGGGGGGGGGGGGGGGGGGGGGGGGGGGGGGGGGGGGGGGGGGGGGGGGGGGGGCGAAGGGAAAGGAGGGGGTTAACGGCCGAAGGCGGACGACGACATGGCTAGGCCTGGGGTCGACCAGCAACAGGGGAGGGCGGAAAACGCAGGCATACATCGGGGTAGGCCTCGACCTCCTGGTCCTTGGAAGCCGAGGGAACGACACCACCAGCCGAGGGGACCGAGGCGAAGGCGCGAGCGGCGACCGGGGTCAGGCGGGCCAGACGGGCAGTGCGGAGGGCGAGCATTGTGTAGGAAAGGCGGGGGGGGGGGGGAAGGGGGAGGAGGAGGAGAAGGTGAGCTCTTCAGCCAATTCTGCCGCGCCGCCGCGCGGGGCACCGGCCGTCCCGGGGTGCTAAGCCAAGAATGGCCAACGTCACGACCCCGGAACTGGGCGGGACACGCGAAGGCCGAGAGATAGGGAGAACTGCCCCCGGGGGCCGAAAGGACCACACGTCCCTGACCACGGACGGGCCAATAGCCGTGTCGGGCGCCGTCCTTGCATTGACCAGAGTGTGGAACGCCGGGGGGGCCTTCGGGCCAGGGGATGCAAGGAGGCACACCCACACCACTCGGAAGGAGGTTGCGACGGTCGCGGCGGGAACTCGCGGCGGCGGCTCTGAGGTCAGGGTGGGAGCCCGGAGAGTGCGGCCATGTACCCCCAAGCCCACTCGTGTCTTTCCACGAAGGCTGACCTGCCCCGTCGCGCCCTCCGCCAACAACAGACACCTCCATCAAAGGCAACAAGGCAACAGACAGAGAGAGAGAGAAAGGGACCGGGGCGAAACTCATGCACAGGGTGCATATGGACACACCCCGCGCCCGGGCACGCACCCGCACATACCCGCACCCACTGACGCGCCGCCCAGCACGAGAGCCCGCGCCCATAACCATAACCATGCCCCAAACCCCACATCACTGCCAACGGAGAGTGTGACCACCTAAACAGAATGGCATTGTCATAGTGGACATGTGAAGTGCAGAACACCTGATTGATTGCGGGTGTTTGGATCGCCTCTCCCGCGGTGCCCGGAGGAGCGCGCCGGAATGAGATCTACTCGGGCGGCAAAGGGGAGGCAGCGCCAGCATTCTAATTTGGGATGTATATTTGTGTGTTTGTGTTTAGAGCGCGCGAGAGGAGGGGGAAGAAGGAGAAGCAAGAAGGGGGAGCCAGGCATAACCCATCGGCGGCGGGCGCACGATGGCGATGGCCGGATTGCGGTCGACGAGAGGAAGAGCTCACTCGCCGCGGACAACGACCTTTTGGTAGGTGAAGCGGCAGCCATCGATGAAGAGATGGTAGCCGTTGGTCCAGAACTCGACGTTCGGGATGAGCTCCATACCCTGGTGAGTGGGGGAGAGAGAGAGAGAGGGGGGGGGGATAGTAGGTCGTTAGCGGGAGGAGGGCCATACAGGTGCGGCACAAAACAAATGCCCTTCACACGAACCGTCAGCTGGAGCTTGAACTTGTTGTAGAGGACGCCACCGATCAGGTAGAGGGCCAGCGGGACGAAGAGGATGATCAGGAAGATGCCGCCACCGCTGATGCCGCCACTGCTGCCCGCGCAGGCATACTTGGTCTCCCAGACAAAGTAGGCGAGCTCGCTGTGAGGAGGGGCATGGACGAAGGAGGAAGGGGCAGAGAGGGGGGGGATAGATAGAAAGAGAGCCGGTGAGTCGCAGGGGGTGGATTGCAGACACCTAGGAAGGGGTGGATGCCCGAGGCAGTCGGCAAAGACATCGAAGGGGGGGGGAGGGGGGGGGGGCAGGACCAAGACAAGATCAGGACCCGGCAGGACGTACGTGTTGATCGGGTCCAGGTTGACATGCACGGGCTGGCCGACGCCGGCGCTGCTCTTGCAGATCATGGTGACATTGGCCGAGTAGAGGCCGGTCGGGTGGCGGAAGAACATGGTCGGGTTGCCGGCCTCGGTGAAGCCGACATCGGTGTTGGCCGTGACCAGGGTCCAGCCGGACCCGCCATCTGTATGGTATTCACAAACGGCCGGGTCGGCCAGGCTGCCCACCGCATCACGGCAGACCTTCTTGTCAACCATCGGGCCGCAGACATTCAGCCGATAGGCGAAGTCCGGGAAGCTCACCGAAGCCGCCGTATAGTCGACCTTGGAGTTGTACAGGGGGTTCAGATCGATCTTCGCACCGGTGACCGGGTTCTTGCCGATGCAATTGCTGAAAATGTTGAACTCCTCTTCGGCCGGGGGGTCAGCCGCGGCAGGCGGCAGGGCCGCGACGCTCGGCGTCATCGCGGCCAGAGCCAGCAGGCACGCCAGGACAAGCAGGGCCAGACACGAACGCCAGGCGCGAGATTGTGGGGCCGCCATAGTGTGAGAGGACCGGAGGGCGGGAGCGGATGGAGCGAGAGAGGAGGGGAGAGGGGGGGGGGGGGGGGG